TCTCAGTCAATGAATCATAGAAAGTGATGTTTACGTACGCCAGCCTCTCCTTTGGTTGGGGTTGAATGGGAGGCACTGTGCACTGTGCCAATTTTACTTCACTGTGGGATTACTTCAAGTGCTCATGGTGGTAACTGACTTGATAATATGCCCTGTCATTTCTTTGTTTTATTAGTTTTCTCTACTCCTGGTTCTTGAATCTCACAAATAAATTAGTTCATTTATTTGACTCACATCTTATTGTCACATCTGCTCTTAGGTCACTACATGCTAAGATAGTAGAGAATCATATTGGATTGTCTCCCTTTGTATTCACGGAATAATTTATATTTACTTCATATGGTACAAAATTTATTGATGCATTTGCTCTGTTATTATTATGTAGAGGATTTTGTACCTATATGCATGACTTATATTATACTGTAATTGTTGTTTCTCTTACTATTATCAGGTTTTTTAGCAGGGAATATAACTTTCATAAACAATCTAGAAAGCATGCTGCATTCTCTATTTTCTGGAATAGTTTTAAAAGGCTGAAATTACTATCATTTCCTTCAATGCTTAAATAGTTTTCATAGCCCTCTATTTTTCCCACAAGTTTTTATTTTTTTTTATTCAGTAAAGGGCCTGTAAATTTGAATTTTAAGATCTCCAGGATGTTATTTCTTCTTGATATTAGATCTTACCAGCATGATGTCATCAATATAATAGGTCTGTGAAGTCAATATAACTTGAAAGCAAGATGGTCATTTTCCTCCCTGCTATGTCAAAAATAACAATTAAAAAAATCCAGTGTATTCTTCATTCAATGTTCCAGTATCAAGATGCTGTTTTTTCACTTTTCAATTTTTGGGGATTACTCTGTTAATCCTTATGAAACCCTGCAGTAAAAAATACCTTCTCTATCTATTATAATTGCAACAAAGTAGAAAATTGCTAAATTACTGACTGCACAACAGGTGCTAATAACTCTGCTAATTCACTTCAGTAAGTAACCCAGCATCTAACTGTGCTTTTAGATAACTTAGATTTAAGATTCTGCTGTCTTTTGTACTACCAAAGAAAGAGGTAAATGCTCCAACAATGATTTTAATAGTGTCATTATTCCTGTCATTGTTTTTTACTGATTATTTTGGTAAAGAGGAAAACTTCTAGGTACTTTCTTATATTTATAAGTAATTACCTTCGGAGATAGAGTGTGCAGATTTTCTTCCATTGTTGAAGTTACACATTTCAAGTGTTTTTTTAGGAGCTGTGGGGATAATTATAAATTGACATAACAGTCTCATGCACCAACAATGGATTATGAAATATATTAATCTTCTGCTTTCAATTTTAGACAAGCACAGCCCAGGAACTAGTAATAAATTCTGAGTCATTGGCTGGTAATATAGCAAAACCTCGCTATTTCTGTTTCCTCAATGCACATGAACTTATGAATGTAACTTTATGAATCTTAGCTTTTTTGGGGAACCTGGGATCAGCCACAGAAGATGTTATTGTTGGGTCTAGGCATCCCTTCAATGAACGAAATTTGAAATACCTTTTGGGATGTGTTTGGATAAGAGGTGTGACTAAAATGAGGTGGTTCAAAGTTCTGTGTTCCAAATAGCCAGGATTATTCTTACCAAACAAATCAAGTGAGAGTTTAAGAAGGGTGCTCTTACACTTCCTTCTTGGAGATCTAGTGATTAAGCAACTATTCAAACCTGGATTAGATGGACCTGATGACCTTCTTGGGGTTTGTTTCTCATTACAATAACCCAGGTTAATAGCACTCTTTTTTTTTTATATCTGCAGAGAGCTGTAATAGACTTCAAATAGCTGGTGCATTCCTGAGTTTAAAGAAAGAAATGTTCTGGAAGCTCTTTTTGATTTTAACGAGGTGGTGATAATCTTCTAAACATAAGAAGGGGTTCTGAACATGATAAACCAGAAAAAGATTTAAATTAAACAAACACAAAATCACAGACATAACTAGGGTACTATTCTTCACCTTCCCAATAGTGATATTACTTTAATGGAAGGCAAAAGAACACTTTTTTCCCCTTCCTTGGGCAATATTTTACTTCCTAGATTTTCAAAGACAATAATAGACTATAACAGATTAGAATTCAAATCAATATATTTCCACGTCATACATTATTATTTATGTCTATTAATTTAATTTTGTCATACATACACCTACCATGCTTTTGTTTCTGAATTTTGGGTTGCAAAACAAATTGTATGCTTCATGCAAATGTTAACAAAAATTAAAGAAAAATAGTAAAACAGGCAATATTGCAGTGTATTTAATGCACAAAAGAAGAATAACTGCTTTGAATTTTGATTCTTCCATACAGTTAATTAAAATTATTTTGATTTAATACAATTTTAAAGTTCATATGGAAGATTATTTATACCTATTTATTTTAATAAATGTTGAGCATAATTCAGTTGGGGGTATATGGAAAAACAGTTTTTATAAAGAAATATTATGTGCTCTTTAACTATGAGACTTCTCTACTTCCAAGTAATTTTGTTTATTTCTTTGACAGTGTTATTACAACATTTATAAGTATAATTTATTCTTTTAGAAGTTTTTCTACTTTACTTTATAGATAGCTATATTGTATATAAGATTCTTTTGGGAACAGTATTAAATCTTTCAAGCAGTCTAATTATACTTTTCTATAGGAACTGCAGAGGCCCTTAATTTCATCTATCTAGCTAAACATTAAGTTAGGTAACTTAATTTAACATTTTAATATCAATTTAGAGTTGATAATTTTGAGAAGCAGGAAGGGAGAATGGAGATTATTAGGACTGCTTTTAGTGTACAAATAAAGTAGTTGCAATAATGGCAATTGTACTTTTAAATAAAGTCATGAGTATGTATACGGAAACAAAGCCAGGTTGAAAGAAGACTCTCTATTGTCATATGGGGATAACTCTAAGATTTGAATTTTTACCTCTCTGTGACTATATCTAGAGCATCCCATTTGAATTACAATGTTTTGTCAACAGATTTCTGAATAGAAATCTTCTTTCAACCTGGCCTGTTTCCATATACATACTCATGACTTTATTTAAAAGTACAATTGCCATTATTGCAACTACTTTATTTGTACAATAAAAGTAGTCCTAATAATCTTTCATTCTCCCTTCCTGCTTCTCAAAATTATCAACCTAAATTGATATTAAAATGTTAAATTAAGTTCCCTAACTTAATGTTTAGCTAGATAGATGAAATTAAAGGCCTCTGCAGTTCCTATAGAAAAGTATAATGAGAATGCTTGAAAGATTTAAAAGGTTCCCAAAAGAACCTTACATAAAATATAGCTATCTATAAGAATAATTGTCTCTATAAAAATTTTTTAAAATTATGTGTTTTCTTTTCTTAGATTTTGATTCACACTTATTTAACATCGTTGCCTCTTTCCTGTCCATGAGTCAGCCTGGTGTAGACAATATTTGGGAGTATTGCATACATCAATTTTTTTCCCCAGTAAGGTTCTGTTACCATATTCTCCTCTGGTTCATATCTTATTATTTAATCTTTGCTTAAATGCTGATTCCTCAGAGAAACTTCCTCTAACGTTACTTCTAGACATATCCTTTTAGATCATTCTACATAATTTTTTTCTTCCTCACAATATAGTTTTTGAATGTTTACTCTTTGTGTCTCTACATGAATAAAGGGAAGAGATCCTATTTATTGTTTTTCCCAAACTTTAACATATATGGCACTTATTGAAGTGTAGATTAATCTTCTAGATATTAACTAGTTTTAAAAATAATTGGAATTGATATTTAAACTTATATGTGTATATACCTTGTAATTTCATAGTTTTAATTATATGTGCAATCATCAGTTTATGTACTATTTCAGAGAAATTAACTTTGCTTTTTGCATATTTTCTTATAGGAATAATCCTAAATTACATTTAATACTTTGTCTTTCTTATAGACTAATTGTAGAGTCACTTATTTCAATGGTACCCATCTATTTTGTAAATTTATATTTTGACAGATAAGTAATGGGTTTTAAAATTTTCACATTCTCTAATGCTTTTTATTCCATGTTCCATATGAGAAATACACATGTAAGCATTTTTTGTACTAAAATATTTAACCTAAACATCTTGCTCCCAATAATTTTAAGGCAAACAATTTCCGTGATATTCAATTCAGGTCATAGGTGCTCAAAAGCTTCTAAGATTTTTCCATTTACGTCAGCAAATTATAAGTAGTTCATTTTCAGAATCAACCTGAAGTGCAGTAAATATACATATGCACATATATACATATAGTTTAAGTGGTTTTATACCAAATTTACCTACTGAAACAGATCAAGACCCCCTGCTTTATCTTTTCCTTTAACTATCCTAAATTGTTACAATTTGTAAGTAGTGACAAGTCTTTAAAACAAAAACAAAAAATTGGCTTGAATTTAGATAACCAACTTCATTATTTTGTCATCTCTTAGCAAAATTATTATATATCCTTGGAAATCAAGGTAGAGAAATTCAGATAATTAATTTTTCAACCTTTATTTGTTTCTATAGTCATATTACATACAGGTAATAATAATCTCAAAGGGACACAATTAGAAGGTTCCTCGATTTCTTACTGTTCTCTTTCATTTTTTTTAAGGCTCAACATTAACTTTTTAAGGTTTGGAAGAATAGAGTTTCTTTCTCAGAGAAGTTAATGAGTCAGAATCTTGGTAGAATATTCACAAGTTTCTCAGTGTTTTAGATGCTAACACACTGAGTTTGATGAGAATTCTTTTCAACTTAGCATGTGCCTGCTATTAGAAGGACAGTAAACAAAACTGATACAAACAAGGTGGGTTTTGCTGAAAAACTTGATCTTAAAGAACACTGATCTCATGTTCTGAATTTCAGGTAAAAATAAATCAAAAGGCATATTTTCACTGTCTGACTTATTTGACTCAGTATACTAACTTCTGTTTGAGTATACATTTGAGTGTACACAATCTTTTAAGTTAGAAATACTAAATAGAAGGTACTTATATCACCATAATTTTATACATTTTAGGTATTAAACTTTGGGAAAAATTAATTTGTAGGTTAAGAAAATAGCATAATCAAATCTTTATTTTTTTTACTAGACTGAAATAAGAAACCAAATGAACAGGATAAATGTCAATAAAAGATTTAGCATGAAACATTTCTTTTCTTTGAAGATAATGCCAAAATAGTATGAAAATATGCACATTAGTTGTAATCGAATTGTGGAAAATCAATGCATTTACCTTTGAAAAGCAGAGGTATTCTTTACCTTCAAGCTTCAGTTAGGACCTTATCTGGAAGCTGGAGATGAGCCTCCGGCTTTGTTATTTAAAAAAAAAAGATAAAGAGTCTCTGGAAGGAAAACTCATGTCATTTAGATTTCAACCCGTATGTATCTGTTCCACAGTGACATGCAACAAACTAATAGTTCTGCCTGTCAGTCTTTGCCAGATTAGAAAACAGATTCCAGATAAAATACTCTGAATTATCATAAAGCCAAAACAAGAATGGCATAATTAAAATTATAATTCTTTTAACTATTGAAAACTGAACACCTCTTCTTCAGTCAGGGATTTTTGGTCATCTCTTACATTTGATATTTAGCCAAGTCACATTTTAGTTCTTAGTTAGGAGACATTAAACTGTAATTAGCAGCAAAAAACAGAATGACAAAGCTACAGAAAATCATAACAGTTAAAGAAAGTAGCATTTTTAGTCACAGAAAGAATGCTCTTCCATGAACGTAGGGAATCATGATGACTACTTTACCTTCCCCACATTGAACTTCTAAGTAATCTAGAATTGACATTATAGTTTAATATTAATAGGACAAGAATAGCTGTCAAAACCAGATACTATACTTTCTTTAGAGTCAAGAACCTCCAAACCTCAATAAACACCATATATAAAGGAACATAGCAAATTTTGACACAGTATACACACAACAAATTAACTAATCAGAGACTGTTACAATTTTGAATATGCTAATATGTATTTTTCCAGAAAAAAGCAGAGGCAACAGCAGACATCTGCAGCTGTCAAACCTGTGGAAGTAAAACTATATCTTATGAATTTCACAATATATGAATCATATGTGGAAACAAAGGGTTTTTTTATAAAAAATGCTGATGGTCCAACAAATAGATATTTATACGCATATATTTATATATGATAAAAATCAGCTTGCATGAGAGTCATAGTCTATCTACTGTGAAGTTATATCACACATACTGTAAGCAATTTACAGAATTTGTCAATTTTGCATATACAGGAATTTCAAAATGAATTAAAATACAATGAAATAGAGAATACTCAAATGTATTTATATAAACCTCCCAGGATTGACAAGGATTGGCCATGATCAGCACTTGCCATCATATAGAACAACAACTATAATCAAGAAAAAAACGATCCAGGGGAAAAAGCAAAAATAAAAGTATTTCTTTTGTTAGTTGTTATTTAAAAGAATGTTCTCCTCGTTGATTTGCAATATTGGTAATTTTGATCCTACCCCCACAAATGGGGGTTTTATTTGATGATAGCTTGTGTTCTGTTTCCTTGTTTTCTGTTTGCTTCCTGAAGATATTGGTCTTTTAGTTGGAAATCAGTGGTATCCATGGGTATATATTTTTATTATCCCGTTGACCTTCAGACCAACCCCTGAAAGTCAGTGAGATGAAGCTTTCAAGTAGTCAAAAGAAAGGGAAAAAATAGATCTTGCTATTAGAAAATGTCCCACCACTTCACACTAATTTTCTTGAAATAAAGGATCAGTGATTTGCCAAAGAAAACATTATGAATAAAGCATGTGATAGCCTCTTCGTTTATGCTCCGGAAGCAGGCGCTCCTGTGTAGGTAACTAGAGTACAGTGGGTGCAGAGTGGTGCTTGGAGTTTAGGGTCAACTTTGCTGTCCGCTCCGTAGATTTTACAGACGATTTGCTCTTTGCTTTAAGAAGAGAAAGTGATATTGGAAAAAAGTCAGCACTTTAGATTAAAGCAAAGCACCCTTCACAAAGCCACAAACAAGAAGCAGGACAGAAAGTCCATGGCTTGTAGCTATCCTCGCACCTGCGGAAGAAGTTATAAGATATTCGCTCATCTTGAAGATTTCCAATGCTCCTTATTAGGCTGTTTTAAACACATACACATATATATTTAATTAGCTCGCCAGGTTGGCTCTGGTGCTCATGAATGTCTTGGCATGCACTGCAAATAACAACACATACAGAGTGTTTCAGTCCCAGGAAGTCGGTCTTGTTTGTTTGTTCTGTTTTCAAACAATGCCATCCCAAGGTCAGGAACACTGAGAGGAACAAATCCAAATACTTTTCCCTGAATTAATTCTTTGAGGATCATCCCTCATGTCATTTGATTGTTCCAATATTGATAGTTAAGACTCATCTCAATTACTGCCTCCCAAGTGTGAACCACAGAGATACAGCTTGGAGGACAGGCTATCCCAGGGCAAAAAAAAAATTGTGTGGCAAGTGCATTTGGTCATTTGTTGTTAGACTGTGATGTCTCTCAAATGTTTTTCTTGGAATCTGAGAAAAACTTACTAGTTGTCAGAATTGGGAATTTTGAAAAAGCTCTGAGACCATGGATGGAAGAGATTAAATTATACTTGCACAGTTTTCTTTATATATTTTGTTCAATAAACAAAATGGGTTACGAAATTTTTGGCAATGCTCAAAGTATTTTGGGGACATTTTGGATCACCATGGTGCTTCTTGGGCTTCTTTTTTTTTTAAGTGGAGAAATGCAAATAAGGCTGGAAGGTACAGAGTAGGGAATAGAATAGGGAAGCACAATCTGTTTATGTTAGCTAATCATGCTTAGGTTCATGTTGGCAGTGAATAAACTAAGGAAACACACATGCTTAATGAGTCACAGAAGAACAAATATTGGGGGATAGTAAACTCATCATTTTGTAGTCTCATACCACTGTTTTTTTTTTTTAGTTTAGTCACTTAAGTGTTGCCAGTATTTGTTTTGTTGGAAGGTGAGCCCTCAAGCTAGCATAAAATTTCTTCACAGAAATCTATGGGCCAAAGACTTAATTATGGATCTCTGGAGGGTATCCCTTCATTAAGTTGAGGAAGAAGAATCAAAATGCAAAGTTACAGAAAATATATGCAATGTTAATGAACCAATAGCATCAGAGCATTTCAAAATTAACTTTTTTGCTATTTTTAAAATAGTTTCTTTAATGTGATTTCTTAAATAGCCAATAGCACTTGGTAAAAAAAAATGACAAATATTGACTAAAAATTTTAAAAAACTTACTGAAAGCAGTACAATTAAGCAAAAATATTTACTCTTAAAGACATGTATTTTTTTCAAATAATGATTTCCTTTTCAGAAAGGGCATTTCTTATTGGTTCAAATTTAAAACAACAAACCTTTTTCAATTAATTAGCCCCTCATAGGAAGTACCTGACTCCTCATTTCTCTAAGATAGAGAGCGGATAACTAATTTGTTTTAACCCAGCATTTCCTATCATACTTTGTCCAGCATGTGCAAGTTAAAACAGGATTTACATGAGCATTCTAACTGGAAAGAGGAAAAATATATAGTATAGCGTACTTCGTGACTGCTGAAATATTGAATTGACATGAATATATCATTGTACATAGACTGTATTCTCAGATTGCAACCATTCATCCACTCTAGGTGCATGCATTTCCTAATATATCTTGGTTTAAATTAAATTTATTTCTATTGGTCAATTACAAATACTTTTTCTCTACAGTAACTCTGAAGCAAACCCATTTTCATATCATATAACAGGAATTTTCTTTTGTTTTAATTATACCTTGAACAAAATGATATGTACACTTTATCTTGTCCTCCAAAGACTTAGACAGTTAAGTATTTAAAATGCAATAATTTGTTCCATATAATTTTAAGGAATAGCCATCATAGATATTCTCATTAAGCTGTATTTTATTTAGAATATAACATTATATCTAAAATACTGTTTATCAAACATGATTAGTTCTATTGAATTGGAAGTTAAAAAAAAAACACTTTGTAAAAAAGCAAACTTTGGCCACAATGCTCATTATGCTCTATTCTCACTGTTTGCATAAAAACATTTCATTTTTGTGACATAGTAGATGTAGTCAGAAACCCAAAATTTTAATTTCCTCTGCAGCCACTCAATTATGAGATCCCAAATGAGATGCTTATTTCCTGTTTTCTATATTGAGTACAATACCTCTTTGCATATTATTGCTTTATCTTTTTTGTTTGCTATTATGCCAGACATTGTATTGGAGCAGAATCATCTTTTTTTTCTTTAATTTGGCTTCTTTTTTTCTTTTATCCAGGCTATGCAAAATAAATTCTTACTGTCTTCTTAAGATCATGCATTTAGCAATCATGTCCTTATTTAAACTTCTCCCCATTTTTCTCTTTCTGACCAGCTCTTTGTAATTTCTCTTTCGAATGATAACCAGCAATGTTTTGATGTTGCCTTTCCTAATGGACTTCATTTTCCCTTTATTCATCATACTGTACATATTTCACTGGTTATATTATAAACTAAAGTCAAAGGGTGAAATTTTAACTTTTTATTTATTAATTGAAGCAAAACTCTTCTATTAAAATAAGTTTAATTAAAGAATGTGAGGGGAGAGAAAAAGAAAGAAAATATATGTGTTCAAGAGAGAACAGGGCTTTACCAGAGTGGACAAAATAATTTTATCTATACAAATAATTTTTTCTCTTTATCTAAAACAATGAGTTGAGAGTTTTTAAATTTTTGCTCCCAAAGCAAAATACTCAGTGGAGAATAAAGAAAGATGCCATTTTTCTCTGACTCAGATTAAGATTTTGTGATGTCCTCTGGTTTCTACTTAATAATTGTACATTTCTATTATTTTGCGCTTAGCAGATTTCACAGTGACCTCTTAAGTATAATCACCACTGACATTATAAGACAGGAGAGGCATTTTCTTTATTTTCCAAATGGAAAAATATAAGAAATCTTAGATATCTAAGTAGTATAGGGCTTGCATTGATTAAAGCTTCCAGACCATCACGAGTCTCATGTTGCTGTCAGGGAAAAAACAAATTTTTGATCAAGGAAAAGACAAAATCAAAGAAACTTCAAATATTTTTTATCTTTGTTAGGGTTATTTCACAGTAATGACCAGATGCACCATGTCTGGTGGTGCTCCAGTTGCTACCAGCTCTGTACACAGGGTTCATCAGCCACTATCGAAATAAGCACCTAAACTTCTTTACTATCTCTATAGCCCTGGTTTCTATTTTTAAAAATAATTAACTAAAAAATAACTATTTTTCATGAGGCCCTGACTCCTCAATGTCATGTGATGTGCCACTGTAACCACTGTATCATCAGGACAGTCACTTTCCACCTCATCCTACCTTATAGGTGGGAGTACTGCGCTTACTGGGAAGTTGTCAGATCCCTGTCCCTTTCAGAGGAAAAAACTCAGTCCCTCTCTTGCGACAGGTATCTCTTGAGACTGCCATCTGCAATCTGCTATCGGGAGATACTAATTCACAACACTGCTCCCTCTTCTTGCCCACATCAATCTCCATTGAGTGCATTGAGTGAGTAGTATGTGTCAGGAGTAACGATACGTTGTCTTAGGCAGAGTCCTCTGGAATTAGTACACATTTCACCCCCAGTCCCCTCAAATGTCTTCTTAGAGTTTGAATTTTTCATATTTCAAATTTATAGAGCTTAAAGTTTTCTCCAAATCCATTTAGATGCTTGAGTGAGAGGTGCTGACACCTTAATCTTTAAATTCTCTTCCTTTCTACGAAGTTGTTTCCAATTCAAATTTGAGAGTCTGGGACCAAGGAAGATTACTTGCTTAAGGCTTTTGCCACTATTAGTTAGTGACAGGAAAGAAATGAAAAGCAATACTTAGTTACCAGAAAGATCCAGGTACTTAATTTCAGGAATTAAGTGGACTTTTGAGGCAACCTAGAATACATCTACCAGTCCTTTAAATATCCACTTTCTCTTGACTATGAGTATTTTCTGATGGGATAATTTTCTGTGTGAAGATAACTTAGTTGGTGTAGGTGAGCAGCAGTCACAGATCAGGCTATTTAGGTGTGATCCTCCACAGGCTTTTCTCTTTTTGTTATTTGAGTATTCAGTGAAATAAAAAGAGGTAATACAAGCCAGAGAAAGCAATTTCTCTCCTGCTGTGCCTCCATAGTCTGACTCAACAATCTTTAGTTTGTAGAAGTGAATATTAATGGCGCATATCATATGAACAAATCTAAAAACGGAAGTCCTCCAATAATAAAAGAAGCAACAGTAAATAACTTTTCTTCCCCGCCCCCTTCTTCTTTATTCTTGTTTGTAAAGAGGCCAAGCTTATAAAGAATGAAGTGTCCATTCGGGCTCCCAGAACAGACAGCCCCTTTGATATACTTCTCTTTTATTACAGATGCCAGCATTCAGAAATAAAAAGAGCTGTATGAGAAAATTCAAGCTAGCTTTTAATACAGTTTTTATTCATGTTTGCACTTTCTAGATCACTATTTAAGAGGGGAGATCAGATGGCAGAATTATTTTATCATATAGCTTTTGAAAATAATAAAATTTTATTAGAATTATTATAGATCCAGTGCCATAATTTTTTTTCCAAAACACCATTAGAAAAAAGTAATGTGCTCTATCTGACCTAATACATAAATTGCCTAATTATGTATCTTACTGTGCCCTGCCATGTTGGCAGCAGCTGTGAAAATTTCCTTTCCTGCTTTCCTTCAGTCAGCAAATTTATACCTTTCTTCTAGTTATGAGCCTTCTTATTGTCGCTGAGGGAAATAGAGCAGCTCATCCCACACACAGTGTCTGAACAACAGGGCATTTGAAAAAAAGATGACTCATTCCCACAGAATGTTCCAGACTTAGAACTAGTCATCCCTGGCCTTCAGAGTTTCTTCTCCTACAGTAACTAAAGTGAGGAGATGTAATAGTGACACTGTTATCCCCACCTGAAGGTCACAGTGCATCTGAAAAGCACAGTTTCATGCAATTCACTCATCCAAGAAAGATCTGGCTTTAGTACAG